TATATATATATATATATATATATATATATATATATATATATATATATATATATATATATATATATATATATATATATATATATATATATATATATATATATATATATATATATATATATATATATATATATATATATATATATATATATATATATATATATATATATATAGACACACACACACACACACAGATATATATACATATATATACACACACCCACACACACACTGTGATGTGCTAAGATATACTCTATCTATTTGTGCTACTAAACACGTTGTTACATAATCACACAATAGGATATAGATGAATTGTGTTGATTTCAATAAAATTCTCAATCACTTAGAAAAAGTAAAACAAGTAGTATTTAGTATACTTGTTTTATGAACTTATAAATTTAGTTCAAAAAATAAATAAAAAAAAGTTTTTAATTATACCTAAAAACTATTACTAAATGGTGTATGTTTTATATAACAATTAATATGAATACTTATACCTAAAGAATAATTTTTTTTTAGAAGAAATACCTAAAAACTATTACTAAATTGTGTATGTTTTATATAACAATTTATATATATATATATATATATATATATATATATATATATATATATATATATATATATATATATATATATATATGGCGACCATCTTCTAGCAATGGCCACCACTCTCCCTCATCCCCGAAGCTTCAACGACATTGCTATCAAGGGCGACTACAAACCAGCGACGAAATACAAAGGCCAATCGGCTATATCCTTCTCAGATGAAGAAATCAACAATTTGTCTGCTAGGTTTGTTCGCACAATTGTGGGTCGATTCACCAAGGGTAGACCATGCCGAATCTCAAATTTTGATTCCCCATTGATTCCAGTTTGGATTAGTCTTGAAGGTCTTCCCATTCATCTTTTTGATTCTCTGGCTTTATATTCCATTGCCAATTCGATTGGTAAACCACTGAAAACTGATGCTGCAACAGCATGCTTGTCAAGGCCATCTTTTGCACGTATTTGTGTTGAGGTTGATACTAGTAAGGAACTGCCCCATGGTGAAGATCTCCCTGAATACTGCCCCTCTTGCAAATCCTTTGGACACAAAAACTGCAAAAAAGCCACGAGATCCTCTAGATGGTTGGTGAAGGAATCGCCAGGGACTGGGAATACAGCTCTTGCTGTAGCCGTCCCTCTATTGCAAACGGTGGACACCACCTTAAAACTTGTGGCAAAACAAGCTGATGGTTAGAATCAGGATGGTGCTAATGAAAATGAGAATGATACTTCTGTAGAAACAAATTCTCCTGCCCAGGTTGAAACAAATTTGATTCAATCTGATCAAAAATCTGAGGCAATTAATCTAGAACAGATACAAGAACCTGGAGCTGAAACCCTTGAAATAGATCATGAGGTACAATCTGCAAGCGACATGTATACAAATATGGCAAGAGTTGAAGCTTTGGAAACCACCATTGTTAATGGTAGGGATGTTATGGCTCCCGAGCCAGCTGGCAGTGCTGAAGTCAAAACTGTGTTGGTAGAGCTTGAACAAATCTGTGTTGGTGAGGATGCTCAGGAGACCATCCAAAATCCAACTTACATCGACCCTAATTCCGAGAATGAACAAAGCTGTGTGGCACACAAACTGTCCCCCAAGACAGATTTGGAAGGCACACAGTACAAAGAAGAATTCCCTCCCTTAACTATAACAACGGGGGATTTTCCAGCCCAAAATTATAATAGTGATGCACACACTCTTTCCCTCAAGAAAGAGATGGATGGCACGCTATCCCCTTCTATCAAAGGAGATGATGAAACTATTTCTGATCCTTCTTTTAGACAAGTTTTTTCCCACCTATAACTAACAATGCAGGTAATGACCAAACTACTATCGGCCCTGTTCTTCAATCTTTTGAGGTGGACGGACAGCACTATGAAATCAGGTCCTATGAAGAAGCGGAGACAAGTAACCTAAGGGAGGACCCTAACGACTTCCAAGATGTCTAGAACAGACGCAGCAAAAAAGCGGGGAAGAGGGGAACTGCACCAAGGACGATTAAAACTAGAAGCTACGATCCAAATCTTGAAGTTAAAACAGTGAGCGAGATCACTAGATACTGGCCCAGCCGCAAATCAACCACAATGGAGAAAATCGTCACCACCAAAAGTTATTCTCGGCCCTTTTGGTATGTTGGACCCATCGGCCCAATTGGGGCAGATGGGAAAAGGCCAAAGAAAATAATGCCCAGAAACCTTGCCTTGGATCAGCACCCGGGTTTTATAATTTGGGAATGACCATCTGTAGTTCTTTCGATTCACTTCTCATTCAGTTTTTTTTCCATGCATTTCTAGAGGGGCATTGGCCTAGTCCTCCCCTCCGCTGTACCTTTCTTTCTTCTTATTTGAATAAAAATTTTGTTTTAATATATATATATATATATATATATATATATATATATATATATATATATATATATATATATATATATATATAAAGGAACTTTATTGAGATAAAGAGAGTTACAAAAATTTTTCTGAGAGGAAACCGAAATACAAAAGAGGTCTAAAAATTAGAATGAAGCTGATGTCTTGTTCCTTTCTGCCTGAATTTATCAATCTCCCAATCATCAAAGTCTTTGTCATGAATCAACCACTTCTTTTGCCGGTGAGTCCATGCCCAGGCTTGAATGAGCTTGCGTATTTGGTGGATAGTTCCGTGTGGATTCATTTTTATCCCATTATATGTATATGCATTACGCGCCTTCCATAGATTCCATGAGATGAAACCCGGGAGTATAATTCTCAAGGCACCTTTGAAACTTTTCAAATTACCTCTTACCCACCATGAGATTGCATGTTGGCGGAGCAGTAGGTTTGAGGTGTGCATGGGAGAATCAACTAGATGTGCAAAAAAGTTCCATACTTTTTTGCTCTCGGTGTAGTTCATGAGGCAGTGATCCAAGCTTTCCTCGTTATATACATACATACATACATACATACATACATACATACATATACATACATACATAGATACATACATACATACATATATACATACGTACGTACGTACGTACATACATGCATACATACATACATACATACATACATACATACATACATACATACAAACATACAAACATACGTACGTACGTACATATGTATGTTTGGTGACCCCGAATTGACCAATTTGACTTGGTTGGTGACCCCGAATTGACCAACTTGACCAATTAAACTTGATCCACTAGCTCGTTCGGGTCGACATCTGGTCTACTTTTTAAAATATTGGTTTGGGGAGGTAAGTATATACGGAGTATAAACTATTTACCATTATTTTGTCATTTACTCATTTTCTTATAAAACTATTACGTTAATTATCATTTAAATATAAATAGTTTGGACGCTTTAATTTGTTAACGGATTAGGGACAAAGCTCTTAGGACCTTTTCTCTGTCTCGGTCTAGGTCATGGAATTCTTAAGGCGGCCCTGATCTACAGGATACTCAAGTCAAAGTAACTGCATGGAGCATTCATTTTATCGAGATTCGCAGTTCAGCGATCCAACTAATTCACTTGATCGAGGTTGGCCGTTATTCATTGTAATTTAGAATACTTTTTAAATATTTTCAAAATTATTGTGTGGTACACTTTGAGAAAGTGTGAAGTGTATAACTTACTCCCTCCGTCCCCCTGTTTTTGTCCACTTTGGTTTTGGCACAAAAACCACATTGGAGAGCAAAATGACATATCTACCCTTGAAGTAAAAAAAGCAAAAAGAGTTCTAGTGTCACTTGCCCTTCGCCCATCAATATCCTCCACCGACCCAACCTCAACTACCCAACGTAACCCCTCCACTGCCCATGGCCACGCAGACCCATTTCCTCCGCCGCCTAAACCTTCTGCAGATTCCCTTCATCGCTTCAACTTCGCCGGCCATTCCCTATGCCGCCTAAACCCGCCCGCCCTTTCCCTCTGTCGCTTCAACCTTGCCGGAGATCTATATTTGGAGAAGTTATCCACCCTTTGAAGACATCCAGCCGCCATCCAACTCTCCATGAGGTTTATAGCATGGATTATGTGCTGCTTTGATATGTCGGAGAAGAAAAGGGAGTTACTCAGATCTATGGAAGAAGAAGAATCAAACTAGGTGAGATATTATTAGAGAATCTGACCTGGATCAGAAAATGAGTAAGAGGAGAGAGAGATAAAATTGGAAGAAATCTGAGAGAGATCATCGGAAGAAGAAGGGAGAGGAAATAGGGAATATGAAGAAGGTAAACTTTGGGAAGAGGTGAAATTTGAGAAGTAGATAGAGAGGAAAGATAATCAAGAAAAAAGAGAACCAAGAATCAGAGAAAGAAGATTGTTAAAGGAAAGAGAATATTCGTATATATTTTGGTATATATTCTTTTTGGTAGCTTCCTTGTATATGATTGATTTGGTTTCCTTTTGTGATTAGGTTTCTCAACCTGTGAGAACCTATATATACATGTCTTCTTTGTAGATTAAACACAAGAAATGCAGAGAGAATTTCCTCCCAATTTATTATTTTTTCATGGTATCAGAGCCTAGACCCTATAGATTTTTAGCGACTACTGTTCACGATCGCCTGGCATGGCGTCCATCGATCATTGCTTAGTTTCAGTCGATTGTTGTTGTTGCCCGATAACGGAACGGTTGACCGTTGCTCTAGAACGGTCGAGCACGTCGACCGTCCCGTCGGTAGATTTGATGATGCTGTTGATTCTTCCACCACCGCCGTACGCCACTCTGCTACCGCCATGGCCGATGAACAACCAAGGAAGGTGGTTTCACCTAAAGAAGATGACAATCATGAGAGGGGATCCTCAATGTTTCCAAATTTTGATAAATTGACTCTAGTACAGTGGAATGCTGTTCGGCATGTTTTCTCCCCATCACCGTCTGTTTCTAGTATGAAGCTTTTAGGTATTCCTGTATCACCGCGTTGGATTATAGATACTGGGGCATCAAATCATATGACTAGTGATATTTCATTACTCCATGATGTCGTGGGAGTATCACCATTTGAGATTAGTTTGCCCAATGGGAAAAGAATTATTTCTGTACAATCTGGGAAGATTAAATTAACAAAAACATTGATTCTGCATAATGTCCTATATGTTCCCACTTTGAGCTGCCATTTAATCTCTGTGTCACAATTAACAAGGGAATTGAATTGTGAGGCACGTTTTGCCAACGATAAGTGTATACTACAGGACCTGTGTTTAAAGACAGAAATTAGTACGGGTGAGCAAGAAGGAGGACTTTATAACTTCAAGAAGCCTGAAAAGAAGATGGTGTGCAGTGCGAAGAAGGAGAGTAAGTTTGATCTTTGGCACAAACGACTTGGACATCCTTCCTCTCATGTTTTGTCTCTTGTTCCTGAAGTTGGAACAAGTAAGAGCAGTCATAGTTGTTGTGACATTTGTTTGCGTGCTAAACAGACTCGTGGGAGCTTTCCTATAAGTTTTTATCAATTTGTTGATAAATTTGATATGATACACTTTGATTTATGGGGACCATATAGGACTCCAAGTTTTGATGGTTCTACAATGTTCTTGACCATTGCGGATGATTTTTCAAGAGGTGTTTGGGTACATATGCTTGATTCCAAACGTATGGTTGTCACTATTTTTAAACAATTCTGCACTATGGTAGAACGACAATTTGGGAAGAAAATAAAGTGTGTTCGCAGTGATAATGGCACAGAATTTAAATGTCTAAATGAATATTTCCGGGAGCAAGGAATTATTCATGAGACATTTTGTGTGTCTACTCCACAACAGAATGGGAGAGTAGAATGCAAGCACCGACACATTTTGAATGTGGGTCAGGCTTTGAGGTTTCAGGCTGGTCTTTCGATTGAGTTCTGGGGGGAGTGTATAGAGACCGCCGCACATCTGATCAATCGCACACCTTCGTCTTTGCTAGGGGGGTCACACCATCTGAGAAGATTTATGGAAAGCCACCCTCTTTGACTCATATTCGTGTTTTTGGATGCAGATGTTATGCTCATAACTTGAAGAGGAATGGTGATAAATTTTCACCAAGAAGCAATCCTGGAATATTTGTTGGGTATCCACAAGGGAAGAAGGGATGGTGTATTTACTACCCGGACACTAGAGAAATCAAGGTGTCCCGGGATGTGTTTTGTGAAGATATATACAGGTACATCTCTTGATACAAGTACAAATGAGGTTAGCTCTTATGATGAAGATAAAGAACTGCGGACGGAAGAACAGATGGACCGTTCCAGGAGGGACGGTCGACCGCAGCAGCCAAGCCATTCGGAAGAGATACAAGTGGTCGACCCCATGGACCGTCCAGATGACCACGGTCGACCGTGGAGAGGCAGTGTGATGGGGCCTCTGGAGCTGAACGGATGGCCGACCCCGTGGACCGTGCCACGGATGGCCGACCCCGTGGACCGTGCCACGGATGGCGGTCGATCGTCCTCGAGGTAGAAGGTTGATGTTTCGGAACAACTACAGACGGTCGACCCCATGGACCGTTCCACGGATGGCGGTCGACCATCCACCTCCCAGCAAGCCGTGGAAACCCTGGGACGCAGTCAACGTGAGAGACATCCGAATGTTCGCCTTGCTAATTATGATACCCATGTGGTTGGACCATATGTCGGGGAGAAATGCAAATATCCTCTCTCGTTGTATGTCACATATGAGAAGTTTTCTGAGAAACATAAATGTTTTCTCACAGCTCTTGATGCAAATGTGGAGCCCAAGGGTTTCAAGCAGGCATACCAGGATGAGCGATGGAGGAAGGCTATGCGAGAAGAAATTGATGCTCTAGAGGCAAATGGCACTTGGACTCTTGTTCGCCCCCCTCATCATAAAAAGCCCCTTGGAGGCAAATGGGTGTATAAGATCAAGCGCAAGTTTGATGGTAGTGTGGAGAGATGCCAGACTTGTGGTTCTTGGTAATCATCAGGTTGAAGGGCTTGACTACAAAGAAACATTTGCTCCTGTAGTCAAGTTGACCACAGTACGGACGCTTTTAGCTG